AGCATCTCGTCCAGCTCAGGACCCACCAGTGGCTCCCCAAGCAGAGCCGGTGCTGCCTGTCGCAGCTCTGCCACCGTGATTCGCCCATCCCTGTCCCTGTCAAACTGGGATTCCAGCAGGGCTCAGCCCTTCCTACCCAAAGCTGCCTCTGCCTGCACCCGCCTCCACCTTGCCACATCCTGTGCCTGGACGCCCACACCTTCTTCTACCAGGCTGAGGCCGTGAGCTCCCTGCCCCAGGAGGGCTCCCTGGGTGGACCCCCAGCTGGGAGTGAGCCAAACCCTCTCCGACCCCTCCCCAGCCCTAGTCCCACCAGCTGCAGGGCCTGGGGCCTCCAGAGGCTGAGGCTCCCAGTCTCCCCTGGCCTCCTGGGGGGGAAGCCAGTAAGGATGCTACCCAGCCACCCACCCACCGCCCATCTGGACGCTCCACACCTCGCGGAAGGCGATGCGCAGCTCCCGCACCCCCAGCATGTGCGCCGTCTCCTCCCTCAGCTTCGGGCCCATCATCTCCACAAACTCCTCGAAGTCCACGCGGCCACCCACTGCGGACCCAGGCGGAGGGTCACAGTGGTGAGGGCTGGGGCCCGAGGAGGGGCGTCACAAGGGCCAGCCCCTCCCAGGCTCTGCATCCAGGAAGGACACCGGTGTCCACGTCCCTGGGCGGGGGCGGGCGGGGGGGGTAGGAGGCTACAGCCCGGGGCTCCGATGAGGGCAAAGTGCTCAGGTGTTCTCAGTGAAGCCCCGGGTGTGGGGGAAAGAGACCAGGCTGTGGAACCAGACAGGCCCCAGGTTCAAAGCCCCCTGGCTCTGCCACTGATGGTGTGGCTTTGGGTGACTTACTGAGCCTCCCTCCTCATCCGGGGACAGGGTGCTGAGGGGGCTGGGGTTCATGGCTGTAAAGCGCCGGAGCCCCACGGGCGGCAGCAAAGACCCCTAAGAAGCATCCCCAGGTTGTCCCTGGATTCTAAGGTGCCGTCAATCATAAAAAGCACCAACGGTCAACTAACAGCTTTGGGGAGAAGAAAGAAGCATGACACGAAAATATTCACATCAATTGTACATCACATCCCATTTTGGAAACTGTAAAGAAAAAGCAAATGCAGGAGTCCTGGGATGAAAGGAATCTGGTATTTGACAAATTGGCTAATGATAATCACACAAGGGCAGCCCATCAGACATTTAATCGCAAGGCATGGCCAGGGTTCTGTCACGCTCGGCCTCACAGAACCTCAGGAGGCTCTCTTCAGGAGCCTCGGGAGGGTCAGAGAGAGAGAGACAGAGACAGCCCTGGGGGCTGGTACCAGCACGGACCACTTTACCTCAGTCAGAGACGGGGGTCCTCGACCTGAGCCTCAAGGGGCTCTCTTGGGTCACCCGGTGCCTTCCTTGTCACCCTCGACCCCTGTGCCCCCGGGGGCCAATGTCAAACTGTCCTGGAAACTGTCACCCCCTCACGCCACCGTCACCAGGGCCTCACCCCACAGCCGCCTCCCACCACCTCTCGTTCCCCTGAACCACGAGGCCGGGAGAGGACCCGGGCTGCAAAGCCAGGTGGCTCGCCGACCTGCCCCGCCCCACCCCCAGGCAGGTGTGGTCAAGCACTGACTTCGTATCTTGACATGCTGCGAGACCTCGATGAGCTCCATCTCCGTGGGCATGTAGCCCAGTGTCCGCATGCACTCGCCCAGGTCCCGGTAGCCGATGTAACCATCGCGGTCCGTGTCAAACTCCTCGAAGGCAGCCTGAAGCTCTGCAGGGGAGGGAGGTCAGGCGCAGGCAGCCAGGCTCTGGGGCGCCTCCCACCCACCTTCGCCAGCATGGGCCACTCACCATCCAGCTCCTCGGGGCCCAGCTCGCGGTCCTGCAGGGGCACAGTCCAGCATGTCCCTGGGGCCGGCCAGGGCTCTGGCCGCCCTTCCTCCTCCAGCCCCAGCCCACACTGGCCTGGCAGGGCCCATTCCACAAGGGCAGGAGAAGGCAGCTGAAGTCCCGCGGGCCCCAGGAGAAGAGATGACCCCCTTCCTGCTCCTGGGGCCCCATGCTGCCTCAGATCCCTGGGTTTGGGGTCTAGCTCCGCCCACTGCCCAGGCCACCCCCAAACTGCAGAAACTCTACCCCTTCAGCCCAGGCTCCTGAGTCTGGAGCAGAAACTGGAGGAGGCCTGAGTATAAGGGGCAGGGTGGGCTGAGCCTGAGCCCATGAGTCCCCAACCTCACCCCCAGGCCCCCCAGCCCTGCCCCAGCCCCACCTGACCTTCCCAAAGATGCGGTTGAGCAGGGGCCCGTATGTCCTCTGAGCAGGATCGTGCCGGGGGGCAGGACGATGCCGGTGGGATTGGCGACGAGAGGCTGGCCCCTCCTGCCCGTCTCCAGTCCTGGAGGGGTCCTTGCTGCCCCCCAGGGCCTTGGGGCCCTGCGTGAGGGTCTGCTCCCCAGAGCTGCCAGTGCCCTTCCGGGACCCTCGGAGCCCCTTCGTCCTCTTGCTGCTTTTCCTCCTGGTCAAGGGGAGCCCCTCAGCACCACTACTGGAAGCCATGACCCCCACAGGGGGCTTCTGGGGTCCGGGGGGTGGGTCTGGGCCATGCTGCCCCCTCACCTGCTCTGTGGCCATGCGGAGCACCCCTGCCTCTCCGGACCCATAAAGCTGCTTATGCACCCCCAGCCTGAGAGCTGATGGCCAGGGATCGGTCCCTGAGGGGGATTAGGGTAAGTGAGGCAGGCAGCCCAGGCGCTAATCCCAGCCCTCTGCCTGGGGGTGGCCAAGGCAGAGCCAGCTGGGTCAGGGGGACCATCCTCAGCAGCACGGCGTGCCAGGACATGTTGGCTGCAGTGAGCTTTGGATGCCAGCTCTGCGGCTTATGAGCTGGGAGACCCAGCAAACTCACTTCTCTAAGCCTCAGTTGCCTCATCTATAAAACGGAGGCAATATCGCTGAAGCGTCAAAGACGGCCCAGTTGTATGAGACAGGCAGGATTTAGCTAAGAGGACACGGAGAGGCATCTCAAGCAGGAGGAAGAGTGTGGGCAAAGGCTGGGAGGTGGGAAAGGAGAGGATGAGTTGCCCACCGCAGCCCCCACGTGGGCGACATCCTGGCCGGAGCAGAGGGTATGTGAAATTCAGGAAGAGAGGCCAGACCAGAGAGGCCTTGAATCACAGATGATTGAGGGTGACCTCGGAGGAGGTGGACCCTGTGGGAACCCAGAGCCTGCCCTGAACTGGAGGGGCCCAGGGCGAGGGGTTTCAGCCATCTGGCCCTGTCAGGAATAGGGGGGCCTGGCTGGTCACTTGGCCTTACTGGGCCGGGGTTAGGGTTTCCCGGCGAGCAGCCCCATGAATGATTGATGTCCTCCCAGCTTGGGTTTCACACCGGCCGCCTTAGTGCCGCCGGGAGCCATGCATCAGGCCCCGGTGTGGGGCCGTGCGGACGGCCGGACCTCTAGGCAGGCAGGCACGCCCTGCTCCTTCCAGCCAGCAGCCTGCACCTTACAGGTAAGCCAGGCCTCACCAACCGGGCCCAAGGGGAGCCCAGGGCTCTGATCCAGTAGGGGCTGGAGCTTGCAGAGTGAGGTCTGCCTGAGTAAGGGCCCTGGAGGTGGGGAGACAAGCAGGCTAAAAGGTCAAGTGGCTGGAGCCATGGGCCACGTGGCAGGATCCAGTCTTTCCTGGACATCTAGTTTCTCCACCCTCAGAGGGAACTACCCTCCCCCATCTAGGGCCCGGTGTGGGGCCGTGCGGACGGCCGGACCTCTAGGCAGGCAGGCACGCCCTGCTCCTTCCAGCCAGCAGCCTGCACCTTACAGGTAAGCCAGGCCTCACCAACCGGGCCCAAGGGGAGCCCAGGGCTCTGATCCAGTAGGGGCTGGAGCTTGCAGAGTGAGGTCTGCCTGAGTAAGGGCCCTGGAGGTGGGGAGACAAGCAGGCTAAAAGGTCAAGTGGCTGGAGCCATGGGCCACGTGGCAGGATCCAGTCTTTCCTGGACATCTAGTTTCTCCACCCTCAGAGGGAACTACCCTCCCCCATCTAGGG